GATGGAAGTTGTAATGTCAAATGCCAGGCAGGTGGCTCCATTCGGGGATTTTCTCCAGCTGTCATTACCATTAACATTTTGGCTTGGGTAAACATTTTAGCTTCGAACTCTGTTACTCATTTGCACTCGTGTTTGCATTAGATCTGGACACTCTCAGCCACAACCCATTGACATATACCCACATTAGGGAAATTTCGTGTCGCTTCAGTTATTTGATTAGCCAACAAGCCAACTGTTGGCTGGGGGCACGACGAGTACTGGCACGGGCTGTTTGGTTGCTCGCACTGTCCACACTTTTCCACAGTCAACAGGGGAATTGTAATGGGGGAAAGTTGAATCTAATAATTGATTGACTCTATTTGAGCACTAACTCGCCTGTTCATTAAGTGTGAAATGGTGTCCAGGTCTTAATTGCAATTGAATATATTTGTTCCTTTTTTTTTACATGGGAAATGTATCATTCATTGGTTTAACTTTCAATTAATCAATGCTTTCTGTTAAGTTCAATTAGTGCTTTGCGATGAAATGATGTCTAGCGAATGTAAAGTTACACAAAGTTTGCTTTTAAAATTACAGTTTTTATCTCATTTTTATTGCTGAAATTTGGATGCGCGTGTTTTGATTGGTTTAAATCTTGTTTTCCAGCAATATTATTTCAGATATTTACTGCACCTAAAGGAAGCAAGTCTCTGCTTCAAATGTTTCCTATTGTCTTTTAGCGAAATAAAAACAAACAACGCTGCAGCTTTCATGGGAACTCCCTGCCCGTTGCCATAATATTTATTCCTTGAACATTCTGTTGATCCCCTAAGTAGCTCTGTGTAGCTTTTGCCGCCGTTCAATCTAGTCCAAATAAGTGCAATAGTTTTATGGCTCATCATGTGTCTGTGAGGCTCCACTCCACGGAAAATCCACTTGTGCCGCCCAAAGGCGAGTTCGATGCTCCAATTTCTGCGTGGGAAGTGGGGCTGGGAATGGCCCAATTTATTTGTTGTTGTTGTTGTTGTTGTTGTTTGCCGACTGCTCAATTTGTTGTTACAGCAACACACACAGAGGCTCACTTGTACATCACTTACACGCCAGGGTAATTTAAAACAAATGCCAGAAGCCCTCCACCAAATCGCAAAGAGCATTTTGGGCTCTTGGCGCTACAAGTTTTTATTGAAGCGGCGAATTGGTTCATCCACTACAATTTGGCATGCCATTTATATTGGTTCCATGTTAATGCCAGCGCCAAATCCCCAGCACGGCAGCCAGTCGGGTGGCATGTATTTGATCCAACTGCAGCTACCACGGCATTGTTGCAATTTGTAGGTGCAACAGCATTGTTGTTGCTGCCACAGCCACTGCCACAGCCACTGCTGCATTGTCAGTTGTTGATGCAGCTGTTGTATTTTTTAATAGACACATTAAAAAATAATTTAACAAACAGACGGACTCCAGCTCCCTCTCTCGTCTGCTCTTCGTTTTTTGTCGATGTATTGAATAAATCATAAATCATTTCATGCCCAACAAAAAAACAAACAACAACAACAACATGTGACGTGCATCGCTCCGGGGTTTTCTATTAAATGATACACGATGAGCAGCAGGCTGGCAATTTGTCGGACCTCCCATGCTCCACACACACACACACACACTCGTGCCACACATCCCTCATCCACACAGCGGCACATAGTCGCTTTTCGTCGCTTTATTTTCGCGTGTGTTTACTTTTTACACATCATAATTTTTTACGCTAGTTGACTTCTGGACACTGCCTCGTTCACGTTCTGTTTTTGGGATCCATTCACATTTTTTTTCGCTTGTTCGGGCTCCATTTGGCAGGCTGTCTGGCCAAAAAGTTGTTGCCATGTACAAATTAATAAACGAGTAACTGACAAAAAGGTAATTTATTATTTTATACATATTTGACAAATTAATTTAATGACACTCTACCGCCTCGCACTCTCACATTAACGCACCGTGTCCCAGCGGGCAGCGGGAGTGACTCTGCCACTGCCACTGCCACTGACTCTCCGCTGTAGCTGTCTCCACGCTGCTGCCACACATAATAATTTCTCATTTAATTTTTCAATTTTAAGCGTCATTTACACATGCCATGCCCTGCCAGGCAGCTCCAGCTACGTCCAGATCCCGGCTAACCCCCCGGGCCCGTGTTGTTGTCAGCTTGTCGTATGGATGGACTTGCCTGCCTTTGTTGCTGTCTTTGCTTTTGATTATACCCTACAGAGTCGACACAGTGTGTCGCCACTGCACAAGCTAATCAATATTAAATCATTTATGTGATTGTTGGCAGTCGTTTTGTGACTTAATCTGCGAGTAATCTAAATGTGTTTGGTTATAGCAATCGGGATAGAAAATCAAATAATTCTGGCATAAGCTGTGCTCCAATTACAGCGAGTAATATGGCAAAAAACGCTTCAAAATTTAACTTAAGCTGAGCGAAAAACTTGGCTAAATGTCGGACAACATTCGCATGTTTAACTCTGCTTCACTTTCACAATTTCCAATTTCACAAATTTACGTATTTGCAAGTGTGTTTCGAGTGTCGACTCTGCGCATCTTGAGATCGTTTATGTTGTTCTTTCATTTTTTATATTTGCATTAAAAGGTAATCATCGAGAGCGTCGTTGCAGCGCCATGGCCATTGCAATTTTCGCACCGTTGTCGTATTTTGTATGACTGTCATTAAGTCGTCAGCAGGTTTCAGTAACGAGCAGTACAAAATGAAGGGCCAAAGGGAGAGAGAGAGAGAGAGAGAGAGAGCTGGCAGAGTAGCAGGGACAGGGACAGGGACAGGGACAGTGAGCGAGTGGCAGGGCGCAATCACTTGCTCACTCAGTCGTTGGCGACGCATCAGTTTAAATGACTCGTCATGCCCGGTGGCGATGCAACCAGCAGTGGAAGTCCAGCAGAACGCTAGAGCTGCAGCAGCCGTAGGATGATGTTGGATAAGGAGGCTTCGCATTGCACTCGAACGTGTAGCCATTGGTCTGCAAAAGCTCGCACGTTAATGACACTAGAATCAGTTTTCATTAACGATATAACGTGGCGGGGACGCCCTCGGACGCGCACTTGCCGAGTGCACCACTTTGTGCGGTGAGTGCCGGCAAAGGAGAGCAGAGAGCAGAGAGCTGAGAGCTGAGAGGAGAGCAACGAGTTGGACACAACAAAAAAAAAAGTGAACGTGGATACATGAAAACGTGGAAGGAACCGCATGCGTGCATTTCTCGCATATTTCTCTTCATCGCGGCTGCTGCGGCGGCGGCGGCGGCTGCGGCATTGGCGCTGGCAATTAATAAAACACACACCTTCTGTGGGGCAAGTGCCCACTGCCCCCCCCACCTGCCTCCTGTCTCCTGTCTCCTCCTGTGACCTGCTGCACAGTGGTCTAAAGCGCTTATTTATGCAACGGCTGCTGCTGGCAGTGGCATTCGGACGCGTCGACTGTCGACATTGCCATCGGCATCTGAATCTCGCTATGCTGCAGCTTCCCTCCCCCCCCCTATCCTTCTCTTTCTGCTTGCACCACATCCTTGTGTGACGTTGCATTGGTATGTGTGCTGGAAATTGAATTTAAAAAGCTCAAACGCTGCAAAATATTTCACACGACAGTGATGGCGGCTTGTTGCTTCTTTTTTATGCCTCAGATTTTCGAATAAATCACATTTTGCACAGCGAAAAAAATGTATAAATAATATACGTACATGTATGTGGTGTGCGTGTGTGTGTGTGTGTGTGTGTGTTTTTTATGTCTCTGTGTTGGCTGCATAAATCTTTCAGTTTGGATTTTCACTTTGGCGGCATAAATTGACACTGGCGCTGGCGACACTGCCAGCCACATTTGTAAACCGCGCTTAAAAGCAACCCCCCCCCCCCCCCCCCTCGCTCTCTCTTCGCTCTACACTACAATCCTTTAGCTTCGACCAATCCAATCTCCTTGCATTGCAAATTACGCTTTTTTGTCAGCTTAAATAAAGCAACGCGCGCTGACAGTAAAAACTCATTTACGCGAAATTAAATTAAAAGTTAATTAACGCTGTCAATGTGCAAAGCACTCCAGACAGACTCGCCTGAAAAGAGCGAAGAGAGAGTGAGTGAGTGAGTGGACAGAGTGTGGAGAGTGTGGAGAGTGCAGAGGGAACAGTTTCAGGTAGTGCTGTTGGCCAAGTTGAAAAATCACCGCAAGTAAAGTTAAGCATATGTCCGCTTAAATTGATGGCAACTGGTTTTAAATGCTGGCCTGGCCTGGCCTGGCCTGACAATTTCTCCTGCTGTCTGGCAAGTTGTTGGACTCTGCCTGGACTCTGGGATTGGTTTGTCGGTTTGCCGCTTGGTTGGCTGACTGGTCGGTTGACTGGCCTGCAGCTATGCGCTATGCACACAGTGCGTATGGTAAATGTGACATGAGCAGGCCAGTCCGGGAAGCAAAGTTCCACTTGGCTGATAATTAATTTTTAAGTAAAACGGAAAATTACACCGCTCAATCAGAGACTTAACCGAAAGGCGTAGCCAACATTAATTGCCATATCGGAATGCCAATGAGCTTTGCCTTCATTCCTATGTGCTGGAAATCTGCTGCAAGTCTATGCCAAGTTAAGTCAACTTTCAAGCCACATTTGAAGCTCCGTTTTCATAGCAACATTTGCCGCTGCTTTATGCAATTCTTAGCTAAATGCTTGGGAAGTTCAATTGGCTCAAAGTTAACCCAAAGATGTTTCAATTTCACAAACTAATTATTGTTGTTTGCTGTTTGCATTCTTAAAGTGCAAAAATATTAACTAGTTTTGGCAGCTGGGTGGCCCGTAATGACAGCTCCCTGCGGGGTGTGTGTGTGGAGTTGCCTTCACGTAAACATGCTTGTAGTCTTTGCAATCGCAAACTGCACTCCCACGGCCAATTTCGTCATGAAAAATTAAAGATAACATAAATGCGGCGCGCTCTGGCACGCCATCGAGTTGCAGCTGTTCGGTTGGAGCCGGCTGCTCAACGGCGAAATGCCGTGCCAGGACATCAATGTCTGGGGCTCTGGCGTGCTATTTGAATTGAACAAGTGTCAGCGTCGAGGGGAAACAGCGTCGAAGCTGTCGTTCGTGCCCCTCCGCCACTACTCAGCCCTCTGCTCTGTTGCTGTTGTACAGCATTTGCATGTCCTGCCAGTGCGGAGTACGAAGCGACGCTCTCAAAACTCAAAATATTAACACTTTAACGCCAAGTTTTTTATCCGGCTGCCGGAAACAGACAACACAACACAGACACACAAATACTGAGCCCCTTGGTGGCGGCGGCGGTGGCGGCGGCGGCGGCGGCGTCGGCCAAACGCCATGTTGGATTATTCAGCTCGACGCCATTTCGCGTCACAATGCGCGCTATGGGCTGCCATCATTGCACTCGACAGCAAACGGCACAAGGCAGCAGCAACAGCTATGACTATGACTAGAGCTGTGTGGCTGCAACGTTAGTGGCCCACCCGGCGGATGAAGTTGCAATTCAAAGTCATAAACACGTGGAGCGTGGGCGCAAAGTCTCAGCTAAGCCGCGAAGCAGGCGCTGCCAGTGACAGCAGCAGCAGCAGCAGCAGAAATGGCACTTCCGGCCCACAGATTCCTAGCCGGGTTGGTAGCCGCTTTTTTCCACACCATTTTGTTGCTGGTTGCTGCTGGTTGTCTCCGCCGTTACAGCCGAGGGTATTCGGGGGGCATATTCATGCAGTACATTTGGTCGCAAAGTCAAGCATAAATGTCCAAAAGCTACACCCAGAGATACTGAACCGCACTCCCTTCAACTTGCAAAACTTTGCCCATTGTTGGGCATAGTGTTGGGCGTGCTATCGGGTAACCAGCGTTCGAGTTCCTTCCACCTTTTGGGGCTGTATGTACGTGTGTCCTGGCCGTTATTTTTGGGCGTTCGTTTTTCATTTGCATGCGAAATTCAAACATCAGCATAAAAATGCAATTTTTATTGCGCAACATTTCTCAATGCCCGTTGCAAATATTTTCGCGGGCTTTATTATATTTGCCTTTTGTTTTGTTTCGCGCTATGCTCTGTGTTCTGTGTTCTGAGTTCAGTTCCTTTTTTCTCGTCTTACCATTGTTGTTTGTTCGGGTTTCGGCTTGTTGCCGCCGCTGCCTCCGGCTGCTGCTGCCTCCATACATTTATTTGTTTTTGCCTTCGTTTTTTTGTTGCGTTGCCCCGTAGCATACACACACCGATGTGCCCCGGCCAGCCACCCGCAGGTTTATTATGAGCTGCACTTTATGAAAATGCAGTTGCCAGCGTTGCCGCTGTCGTTAGAGTTGCCACTGCCTCGACTTGGCGGCCGCGCTTCGAGTACATTGCAAATATTTTATTATTGCACAATTTCGCCAACTTATCCCGCTCGCATGTGAATGCAAGGACACGGACACGGATACGGACACGGACAAGGGGCTGTGGCAGGGCAGCTCCTGCTAGCCGCAAGGCTTCAGGAAGGATGCAAGCCAGCTAAAATAATATTTCGTTGATGTTGCTGTTGCTGTTTCTGTTGCTGTTTGTTTGTTTCTGTTTGTCGGTTCGTTTAGTTGAAATTACGTTTTGTATGCCACTGAATTTCATAGCAGCAGCAAGCAACAACAACTTGAGCCGAAAAACTTGCTTTCGGTTGTTATTATTCTTGCGTTTACTCCCGGCAAATTTGCCGTGTGCCGCCGCCTCTGCAGGTCCGGCTACGACTCTGGCTCTGCCTCCTGCTCCTGCTCCTGCTTCTGCTCTGCTCCTGCTACGACTCTGTGCACGGGCGTTGGTGTTGTTGTTATGGACACCACCACTCTACTTCCCTTTTTACCCCTCACTTAACGTGCTCTGGCCTGGGTTGGGCTGTATTCCGTTACGCCACCCACGATACACCGCCAATACCAACACCAGCTCTGACTCCGCCTCCTCTGCTTCTGCTTCTGCCTCTGTTTTGGTTTTCGCTTCGGTTTTTTTTCGTGCTGTTTTTCCAACATTTTAACTTCCGCTCAATTTACCTTTAGGCCAAGTAATTTAAAAGCTGACGTGTTTGTACAACTACAATTTCGACTCATGTTGCCGTTGTTTTTGCTGCTGCTGCTGCTGCTGCTGCCGTTCGTTGGTGTTGGCATTGCCTGTGTTGAGCACTTCCTGGTGTGGATTTTTGCTAGGTTTTTGGCTCTTGTTCTGCTTCTTGGCTGTTCGGTGTTTGGGCGGCTCTTGGATTTCATTCTGACTCTGGCTCTGGCTCTGGCTCTTTCCATTTTGTTTGAGTTGTTTCTTTTGCGTTTCGGTCAAAATTATTACAAAAAATGAAGCGAAAAACTTGCCACTGCTTTGGCATATTTATATTTTGTTTATTTGCCCAACCGTTTGACTGGAGCTCGAGTCAAGTTTTTGATGGACTCAAAGTCCTAAAATATATTCCCCAAAAAGCTGTTAAAACTGTTTGCCCTGGCTAATAGCTGGCGGGGGAAACGGGGAAGGGGGGAACAAGATTGAGACGGAAGCTAGCTGAAAGGTAAATATTAATTAAAGTCGATAGTAAATGGCCGAAAAACGTTTTATCCACTTTGCTGTTTTACTTTCGCCGTTTATCCGGTTCCTGTTTTTGCTTTTTTCTGTCCTCCTGTCCACCGTTTAACATGTGAGCACGCAATTTCCTCGATTGGCAACGCTTTCACGCTGAAGTTGAATGATGGAGAGCCCGCTGCTAAGCTGTCGGCAGTGTGTGCCCTCTGCATAACGTATCAAAAAGTGTAGTCTGCTTTTTTGGGGTCGCCAGTGCATTAAGAAACGCCCACGAAGCAGCCTGTGTGTGTGTGTGTGCAGTCAACGCCATTGTTTGTGTTAAGCCCGGACCAGTCGAGGCAGCCTCCAACCGAATTCGCCTGCCAGCGCCAACCAACGAGTCTGTTAGCCAAGCCGCAGGCAGGAGGCGGGCAAAGCTGCAGCTGAAGTCATGCCTGGTGGCAGAGGGGGGAGTGCGAGTCTGGACCACAGGCAGTGCTGCCTGCCTGCCTGCTGCTGTTGCTGCATTTAGTGAAGTATTGTTTCTGCTAGATTAATCCTGTTTTAATTAAATATACACGCTGCCAGCATGCAAAAACCAACAAGAACGCAGGGGGAAAAAAAAAATTAAAATGAAGAATTCAGACGCCAGCTCCAGCTCCAGCTCCATCTCCATCTCTAGACCTGATCTCTGTAGGTCTCTGTATGCCATATCCCATGTCCCCGTATCCCGTATCCCGTATATCCTGCATTTTGCTTTCAACTCTGGCTGCATCGACATTCTGACGTCATGCAAATGTGTGATGCTTGATGCTGCGGCTCCACTCGGAATGACAAAGTGACTTGACTGACTGCGCGTAATGTTTGAGTGCAGAACGGAGAGTGGAGCAGCAGCAACGGCAGCAGCAGCAGCAGCACATGAATGAGCGCATTCGACCTCGGTTTATTTATTTATATTTTCATTTTTTCGCCCCTCTTTTTACCATCCAACTGCTGCTGCAGTTTGTTTTTCCTGTCCTTGCCTCCTTTCAAGAAAAACACTTTTTCTTACGCTGCACAGCACGAAGCTTGAAGCTTGAAGCTGGCAGCTCGCAGCTCGCAGCTCGCAGCTCTGTGCCGGGTACGCTTGTAATTTCTGTAGTAAATTAAAAATGCTGCGGTATTTTTGTAAGTGCTCTACACAGAAACAGCTCGGCTCAGTTCATCTTTTGGTTCAGGTTGGGCTTTGTCAGGCATGCTGGATGGATGCCTTCGTCTTAAGACGAGCTCTGAGTGCACCACCGCCACAAGTTTTTAAGTTAATGAGCTGAAATTTCTTTCTCAGCATAAGGCGATGTCTTCTGGAAGCCTAAGTATGGGAAAGCACTCCAACGGATGAGCCAGAGCTGAAGAGACTGCCTAAAAGGCTGCGGCACAATTATGAGCGCAATTTTTTTGCTAGATAAATAGTTCAGCTAGCCAAAAAACGGAGCCACTTCGGCTGAGTATACCAAAATCTCTGCTCTCTGCAGTTTCAGGCTTCATTACAAGGCTCATCCATCGGCATAACCTGTGGCTAATCAGCGGAACACACCGCTCCACAGCCACTCCCATGCAATCCAGACAATCCAGACACTTTGGCCGCAAACCTCAAACCCTCAAACCCGCAAAACCCTCAGCACCCAACGTTATTAAGTTTGTCCTTTGCGTGTGGCGTCTTCGAGTAGGGTGCTCCATAAGCGGCTGCCGTCAGACAATCTTAACATTTTGTTGTTTGTTTTCCTCGTTCGCGCATTTGTTGCATTTGCTGCTGCTGCTGCTGCTGCGTGGCATGCAATTTCGCTCCATTAAATACGACGCATACTTAACTGTATAAGTAAACTTTAGTTCTCCTTTAGGGTCACCCCTCGCACAACTCTCGCAGAAGTGTGTGTAAACATATCCACGCACTCTCAGCGGGGGGCGGGAGGTAGGGCGTGGCATACACAAGTGTCCATTAAATTGTGTCATTAATTTTCGTTTGTCCACCGGAGGAGTTGCTGCAAGGAGGAGCGAGGAAGCTACTTTGCTGCTGCTGCTGCTGCTGCTGCTTTTTCATCATTTTACGAGCCATTCATTTATTTGCCGAGAAATATATAAATTAAGCAGTAAATGGAATGATATGGCAGCTTTGCCTGTGTTATTTCCTTGCTTATGGAATTCAAAATGCAAAAATCCAACGTCAATGATGATTGCAACTTTCTGCTTCCTTCTGGTGTCTGTGTTTCTGGCAGGCCTAAAAGATACATTTTATTTTGGGAGCTGCCAAATGCACACCTGACCTCGTATTGGATTACGTTTACTGGTCTACGGTTTGCAGCCTTGGCTATGGGTTTGTTTGCGTTGCCTTGGATTTGAGGAATTTACACACAAAAATAAATATCAATTGGCGCTTGCGGCAGAGCATTTGTTTCTAAATCTCCTTGATTAGTTCAATTTGTGCCTGTTGTTTAACATCGATGCACTCGGCTGCAATAAAAATCAGAAAAACAAATCTCTTGCTCTCTCTAACAAAAAGCACAAACAGCATAAAGAGAGAGAGAGCAAAAATATAAAGCACAAACACATGAAGAAAATTCCTTTGCTGAGAGAGTTGCACTGTCGGTAATGGACCATGAGGATACCCTGCAACAATTGCCCCGCAAAACAATTGAGAGCAATCAAAAATGCATAGCGAAAGTTTCTTCACGAGTAATGTTTTTTTTTTTTGGGCCCCCCACCAATTCACATGTGGGACCAGTTGAGTAAGCCAAAAGTGGAGCCAAAGTTCTTCTGCTCGGAATGCTGCTGCTGCCACTGGGAGATTGGGTAATGGCACTGAGACTCTGTCTGAGTTTTTGGTGGGTATTCTCAACCCAAAAGTTATGCTTTTGCCCCAGTCGGGACATGTTTCTTCTAACCCAATGAACAGCCGTGATCGTTTGGCAGTTTTTGCTGCAATGTAAAAATGGTTTAATATTTGCTAAATAATTGATTGGCTGGGGCATTTGCTCGTAGCAGAGATCTTGGACACGTACGACTCCTGACAAAACACTCAAAACA